CTCTGGCTATATAGTGTATCAAGGACAGAAATGAATGAGTTGTGCTATGAAACACAATATTTAGTTCCATCAATATGTTCTTGCATGTTTACAGCACTTGTTTGGGCATTCATTTCCATGTTATGGGGAGAAGCTGTAGTTTAAGGTGTGAAGAAAAATGCATGCAGGGTTTGTGATCAACCATATAATTTTAATGTTTTTACAGCCAACAGCAAAGCAGTGATAAGACAACTGTGAAAACATCCACTCATCACATTTAGTCTCAGTTCTCTCAACACAACTCTTCTGATTCTGATAGTATTACTGAGCATCTATCCATCTTTCTCGGCAAGCCCACGCTAATTTTCCCTCTCCCCCCTCCATCACTGAAACTACAGCATTTCCTTTCAAATATCAGGAGATCACAATGACCACCAGTAGATACTGTCTTGTCAAGTTAAACCTGCATCCTATCAGTCAGCTGGTTTCTCAGGGTCATTGTTAAAAGTAATATTACCCTTAACCATTTAAACACTGTCTGAGTCCACTTTAAATTTTTTTTTCCTTTTTTTGAATAGGAACATGTTTTTGAAATAGAACATGTGACAATGTGGCAAAATATTGACACTCAAGCTAGTTTGTTTCACAGGTGGTACAGAATTGCAGAAGAGGCAGCAATCCCTTGCTAATGGCTTCAAAACAGTCTCCTTGCTAGACCGGAATGCAGTTCAACGAGCTGAGAAAGTGACTTTTGAGTAAAATCTGTCAGTACAGCAGAAGATGAGACAGGAGTGAACAAAACAGTACCCTGACTAATTGAATGTGATGATACCAACAACGATAGGTAGATTTTTCCATGAGATTTTTGCAGTTTTTTCACTTTTAAGGACAAGGTATATTATCATAAGCCCAACTCTACAGTTCCCTGCAAATGGGCTAAATCTTTGTATATACTGACATTTATTTACACATGTGGCCTAGACAAACTTTCAGATGTAGGGAGGGTACACCTGTTGAAGCTAAAGCACAGGGTGTAGCTGAGCATTTTGTCTAAGGGGCTAAGGCTGGACCTCCTCAGCTGCAGCTGCTTGCATCACTGCTAGAGAGGGAGACGTCCAACAGCACTGAAGCAACAGCAAGGCAAAGCTCGTTATCTTATTCATTAAAAAAAAAAAAAAAGAAAACAGTGGGGCGTTTATCAAAGGCATCACATTTTCATTCATGTTGCATGTTTCATTGCTTTTAATGCCTGAACAGGTTTTCACACTGGACTTGGTTGTCTCGTTTTCCAACAGTAAACCTCGGAATTCAGAGCAAAATCTCTGTTATTTCTCTACAAAGCAACAAGTGTCTTGCTTGTCTCAGTCTGTCCACAGCCACACATCTATGACTACTAGTTCTTCACTACCTTACAGGTCATCTTATCCAAGTTAGGATTATACCACTAATAGCCAGGCAGATGGTTCTGGCTAGATTCTGCCAGTTTCTGACCAAAACAAACACATTTAGTTTTGGTCACAGATAATCTCTGACATCTCTGCCTCCACTCCAATACGTCCATCCATTATCCTGAATAGGGTCGCAGGGGGCCAGAGCCAATCCCAGTTGACATTGGGCGAGAGGTGGGGTACACCCTGGGCAGGTTTCAAATAAATAGAAGTGAATGAATTAGTAGAAAAGTGGCCTAAACGTGGCATCATCAGTAACACATCCTCTCAGGAGTCTCTTTGCTTTACTCCAGTCCTCACAGGGACTATTTTTTTCAGTTCCAGTGAAATGTTGAAATGATTAAGTCAAGTTTGTATAGATGGCTCTAGATAGCACTAGAGCAATCAATGGTTCCCAACCTCTGGGTTGAGACCCTCACAGTCACTAATTTACTGAGGCAGGAGATAATAAAAACACAACTACACTACACATTTCTATATTTATCTGTTAAAATATTCAATGGTTTGACATCGTCAGTCAGGTGCCTTGCATTAAGGGGTAGAAGCAGAGTCAGACTGATAAATCAACCTGGCAGATATGAGCTTACTGCAGATGTATTATAGGAGAAATCAGATGAAACATCATAGATGTTTGAGCTCATTCAGACTGTGTTATCATATAGTTTGTTCACCAGAGAGCGATGACAAGTTTGTTTTTATACCGTAATGCTAATTATTCTAGGCCAGGGGTGGCGAATTCCAGTCCTCGAGGGCCGCTGTCCTGCTTGTTTTCCAACTATCCCTGCCTGACCTGCTGCTAATTACCTGGCTCAGGTGTGTTCAGCCAGTCAGAAGCTGGAAGATACCAGACAGCGGCCCTCGAGGATTGGAATCGGCCACCCCTGCTCTAGGCTATCTTGCATCCTGCACTTTTGTTCATTACAGGTTTATGTAAAATGAGCAAATGTAAGTGGATATATAGTTTTTAAGCTCTCAGATCTGATGTGGGCTTGGTTACATGCACAAGAAAATAGGTTTGGGAGCCACCATGCTGTAGATCGTTTGAGTGAACTAATGCAGACCAGCAGCTATGGCCAACCAGCACAGTCAGTGAAGCATCAGACAGGAAAGATCTGACTTTAGGTCATTTTCACTGACAGGACACATTACAAAGTGAGCACCATGGTACTGAAATGTTTTCAGAGCTGGTTTTCCTCTCAGCCCATGATGACTAAAGACCAACAGCCTTGCACGTGTGACAGTGAAACTCTGTAGTAAAACATGAGACTTAGTCAGAGACGCTCTCTGTATGACGGAACGACAAGGTCCAGTAAAAACAAAAAATACTTTGCATTAATGGGGTATCTGACAGGATGGAGTGGAGAGGAAGAGCCAATGCACAGGTCAACAGGCTGGCAACACCTGCATACACACTCATACAAATATATGATATTGGCCCCCACTGCCCTTAAGGATATAATACTTTATTTAATACTTAGAAGTATGGGTCCATTTACAGACTGATAACTACAAGCTGGTATAAAGCAGGTAGTCATCAGTGGAGCCCTTGGGCACCCAGGGTTATATCTGTGTACACTGAGACACACACACACACACACACACACACACACACACACACACACACACATACATGAAGCCACACTTTAAGACCAACAGTTTACAAGCCTCTGTACATGTAGCATCTTCCTCTTTTCACTCATATCCATGTTCCTTGCTTTAAAAAAAACATGTTGAGAAAATCCTTTACAATTCATGGCCCACTCAGTAGGAAAACATAAACAAAGGGCTACATAAACATACACGTTTGCATATAAATTGTTGGCATTTTATTTCTGTTGTCAGTACTAAGCTGGAAAAAGTGATCACATGAACTGAAAACAAGACCTGTGAAGCCTGTTATTTGTTTAACAATATACCCACTGGTTCAACACGTTCCACTCTTTATATTCTCTCTCTCCACCAAGAAGTTCAAAATGTTCATAACATATTTGTAAGATCAACTTTCACTTCCTTGCAAAGAAAATAACCAAGAAGACTTTACATGAAACTTAAGTGTACAATCTGCTGTATTATTTTACTGTACAAGTGTCAAAAAATATTTGACAATTTCTGTCCACAAGTGATGAAGCTGATGGAAGTGGGATGTGTGTGGGGTCCAGATACTGTCAGGTACAAAGCCCTGGTCAACATGGTTTTGATCTGCCAGAGCTGCACTGGTTCAAATACAAAAGCAACAACATCCTTCAATTCCAAACTGAAAGGAAAAAGGCATGTGAGAAGAGGAGAGGCCATATGTCATCCTCTCAGGATGACTGCCTTTGTTTTTCATTTCTCCCTCTCAGTTGTGTGCCCTCTTTCTCTTCTCTGTGGGGTGCAGCTGCTCTAGAGGTGCATCTTGATGTTTTGTTGTGGGGTCAGTGAGGTTTGACAACAGTCTTCTCTACTTTCTTCTTTCCACAACTAAATGTCTGTGTGTACACTCACAGCAGCAGTTGACAATAAAGCCAACAAGCTTACCAGGGATGCTTGAATTTGCTGTATATTTCTAGGTATCTGTGTTCAACTGAAGGCATCATATTGGGGCGTTTTTCTCTTCCCTCATACAAATCAGCCAAGACAAGGGCGAGTGGGCCCCAGGCTCTGAGCCAATAGGAAAGCTTGGACCACCTCCTGGGTCTGCTGGGGAGTAGTGTTGACATCCTCCAGGGCGTCTGCCACGGCAAACTGTCGGTCTCTCAGCCGGTTCCAGTTGGACAGCACATTGTGGTATTCAAACACTTTCTCGTAGTTTCCCACTGAGTTGTAGAGTTTGATCAGGCCTCGATAGTCATACTCCAGCCCACTGTACCCCTCTCCAAACAGCTTCTTACCTGAGAGGGCAAAGCAAACATCACAGACCATGCCTGGATTCTTTTAATTTGAATTACAACCTAATTATGCTACTAGTGCTAAGTGAATGCTCTACCATACAGAGTAGTGTCAACCAGAGAGAGATGCAGATCAATACGTGAAATTCATTGTTGGTTTTAGTCTCTTTAGTTTGTTTTTTGAAAACACCCATTAAAAAACGAGAGCTAACATGAGTTCAGCCCCGCCCTGTGTCTGACCGATAGCAATGGAGCGTAGGTAGAGCCTCTCTGCATCTTCATACTGGTTCATGTCGTAGTTGTAGAGGGAGGCCAGGTGACCCACAGACAGAGCCACCTCATAGTCCTCGTGGCCCAGAAGCTGCTCCTTGATCTGGATGGCTTTGATGTGCATCTCCTCTGCCTCCTGGTTAAATGGTCACCCATCAAACCAGATGCAAACACACAACGTATAAGAGAGAGAGAGTGATGGAGGAACACATCTAGGCAAAATTATTAGTACCAAGCCAAACAAGGCAATATTTCAGTTTTGTTTCTTGTGCAACACAGCTGGTTCCTTGTCTACAGCTGTCAGCTGTGCTTAAACATTATAACATGAATTCAGATTGACAAACTTGGTTATACTTGTGGGGTTTGAACACTTCTCAGTTGACAGTGAAATGGTCAATGTATCAGTTTAGCTGAACCAACAGTGTATACAGTCACCTCAAAAAGGATTCCTAACTGTTCACTATTTGTACATTTTACTGCATTGGAAATTCATACTGAAATGGAAGAAACTGCACCTGACAACTGTATCTACAGGGTTTGACATTAACATGGCCCATGACCACAAAAATGTACTGTGTGGCCACCACACATCCCCAACAGGTGGCCTGCTGTGCCCCCCAAGCTTTATCAGGTCTCTACTGAAAATGAGACCCTGTGTCTCAGACCCCCACAAACATCCTCTTTCATTTGTGCCTTTTAGTTCAACATTCTATAACAACAGCAAACAGTAAAGGTCACTTGTCGCCAGTTCACTGCTGTTATGTCGGGGCTACTGAAGTACAGGTTCACTAAGCTTAATCAGGCTGCTACAAAAGAACCAGAAACACATAAGACGGACTATGAAAAACAACTAATTTAGGAATGGATGGAAGCAGGAAGTGGCTGGAATATAGCACATCTAATGATGTAATGTACTGCGGTGTACACAGGATTAACCCAGGGACCATGCTGGGAGGGGCAGCACAAATGGGTGTGAGGCAGAAGCATGGGAGGCTGCACTAAGAGAAAGAATAGCCTATATGTACAGTGCCTTGCAAAAGTATTCATACCCCTTGAATATTTCCACATTTTGTCACATTACAACCACAAACTTAAATGTATTTTATTGTGATAGACAACACAAAGTATTGCATAATTGTGAAGTGGAAGGAAAATGATACGTGGTGTTCAAGATTTTTTTACAAATAAAAACCTGAAAAGTGTTGCCAGGTTCTCATTGTGTTTGTACTCGTTCTGAATACAGTGCAGACATTATACAAATTATACTGTCATATCAACGCAATGGACATAATGCCGGGGCAATGTTAAGGATTTTAAAAGGATACTTATGCATTTAATTTGCCAACCACTTTTTGCCTCCATCTCTCCACATTTTCGCCACAGTTGCAGAATCACCTTGTGTATAAAATAAATCTTTAAATGATTAAAATGAGTGACAAACTGCACTCTTTCTTTGGATATTTGCATGTAGCCAATTGGAGACCAGCTGATCATGGTTTTGACTGTTGATATATGTACTGTATAGTGTAGTCAGTGAATAAGAAAATGTGCACTCATCTTGGATGACTGAATCCTGCTTTTCTAATCCACAAGTCAGGTGGGGGTCAAACAAAATCCAGCATTATTCATTAGATCATTTGTACAAAGAACACCCCCTGGTGGTATATGTAACAGATATAACTCCTGATCTTTAACACACACACACACACACGCACATCTTCATCTACCTTGAACTTCCTCATGGACTGGTAGAGTCGTCCTAGGTTGCCGTAATGTTTGGCTGTCTGGACGTTGAACTCTCCGAAAGCCTTCTTGGCCAGCTGTAGTGAGGAGAGGTGCAGGTCATGAGCCTCCTGCAGAAGGCGCTCTTCTGTGTCTTTGTTATGGGAGTCAATGGCAATTTCCTCCAAGATCAGGGCTGGCACAAACAAAGAATAGTGTGCACATATTAGATGCCTTTAACAGAGGAGCCACCACACTGTATAAGAAGTGACATATTGTGTGATTAACTGCTATCTGTACAACAAACAACAAACCTAGGTGGACATTTATTCAATACACTACACCACTCAACAAGAAAGAGTTTATTATTAAAAGGACCGACAGCACTCACACAGCAATGACAGCATTAGCATTAATATAAACTGCCAACACATTCCAAATGAAGTGTCTGTTACAGGCAGACTGTATGCATGATCTCCAGTGAAACATTCAATGGCTGCCTCATGGCCACCTTAGAGCTTAGTTACTGTTGACTACCTTATTAACCTGAACTTTAGCAGTAGCAACTCACTCTTATATACAGTTTTGTCATTTGTGTCAATTTGTGGGCACCCTGGAGAAACTATCAAGTAGCCTTTTCTGCCAAAGACTTAAGTCTGTATAATTAAAAATATATACAGACAGGCGACAAATTAAAGGACAACCCAACATAAAGTTTCTCAGTTAGGTACTGGGCCATCACGTGCCTCCAGAACAGTGTCCGTGCTCCTTGGCATTTACTCTCCAAGTCTCTGGACTCTACTGGAGGAATGAACACCGTTCTTCCAACAGATATTCCTTCATGTGGTATTTTGATGATGGTTGTGGAGAGGGTATGTGTTCATAGGTGTTCAACTGGGTTGGTAACTGTGAAATCAATTAGCATATGATTCACATCACCAAACCATTCAGTGACCCCTCATGCCCTGTGGATGGGGGCACTGTCATCCTGGAAGACAGCAGTCATTTGTTCAGGTTTTTCTTTAATTTGCCACCCATCTGTATATCAGGCACAGGGATCATAGAATTTTCAATAGGGACATTCCATCATCCTCATCTTAAAATGCAGTGCCTGCCTGTTATTCCCAAATGTCCTCACCACACAGTGGGCAGCAGCCCAGCATCTACAATAAACTTATCTTACCTTTGACTCTTTTGGAAGAGGCCAGAAGCAGATGGTCCTCAGGCAGAATGTGAGTTATGATGTCTATGGCACGTTCTGCATGAAATCTGAGGGTCAAATACAGCAGCACACCAAAACATTACATGCAACTCAGATCTGGCAATAAACTGCAATACTACTGAGAATAAACACTTCCAGGAAAGTCAAGTGTTTATCTTGAAGCAAGTTGTTTTGATGCTCATACACAGCAAGATGAATCAGGATCACAGAGGTCAGAGCATTGCCCAATTTTAAAGGAGGCCCTTTGTGCACAGAACGGAACATCACTAGATTCTTTAAAAATACAAAAACATCTTTTCACTCTGTTCTTTGCCATCTTTAATTCCACCTGTCTAAAATGATCACTGCTTTTAAATATATGAAAGCGCACACACCCACCTGAAGCATGTGGCTAGATAACAAACACCAGTACAGTGAATGACAAAACAGCCCATCACAGTATGAGTCATGGTCTTGTGCTTTATCTACAACAGAGCTTATGTCTAGTCTACATACAGTGGGGCAAATAGGTATTTGATACACTGCTGATTTTCCAAGTTTTCCCGCTTACAGAGAATGGACAGGTCTGTAATTTTCATCGTAGGTACACCTCAACTGTGAGAGACAGAATCTACAAAAAAAATTCCAAAAAATCACATTGTTAGATTTTTAAATAATTTATTTCCATTTTATTGCATGAAAAAATTATTTGATCACCTACCAACCAGCAAGAATTCTGACTCTCACAGACCTGTTAGTTTGTCTTTAAGAAGCCCTCCTATTCTCCACTCACTGCCTGTATTAATTGCACCTGTTTGAACTCGTTACCTGTATAAAAGACACCTGTCCACACACTCAATCTAACAAACTCCAACTTTTCCACTATGGGCAAGACCAAAGAGCTGTCTAAGGACACTGGGGACAAAATTGTAGACCTGCACAAGGCTGAGATGGGCTACAGGACAATAGGCAAACAGCTTGGTGAGAAGGCAACAACTGTTGGCGCAATTATTAGAAAATGGAAGAAATTCAAGATGACTGTCACTCTCCCTCAGACTGGGGCTCCATGCAAGATCTCGCCTCGTGGAGTATCAATGATCCTGAGAAAGGTGAGGGATCAGCCCGTCTGAAGTTTGCCAAAGACCATCTGGATGATCCAGAGGAGGCATGGGAGAAGGTCATGTGGTCAGATGAGACCAAAATAGAACTTTTTGGTATAAACTCCACTTGCCGTGTTTAAAGGAAGAAGAAGGATGAGTACAATCCTAATGCATCATATCACTTCTTCATGCCGATACTTTCATATGTGTCCTGGGCATGAGGGGTCAAACCCTGAGAGGAAAACACAGAGGGAGGAAATGAGAAATTCACTGGAGGCTATAGTTTAATAATACTCATGGTTGAAAGGGAAAGAAACTCACCGTATAGATGCCTTCTTCTGTAGTCTGTTCAGGGCAGTAAAGAATAACATTAGACAGAGTATAAGTGTGAGAAAACACACACTGTCACATCAAGATGGAGGACTGACTTTGTGCCTTTCTTGGCTGTAATGGGACATGTGTATGAATGTATGACTACAGTGTAAAGAGGAACAATAGCCAGAAAGCAGCATGCCATATATGTTCACTTTAGACTGTGCGTGTGTGTGTGTGTGTGTGTGTGTGTGTGGTGTACCTACGATGAAAACTACAGATTTGTCCATTCTCTGTAAGTGGGAAAACTTGGAAAATCAGCAGTGTATCAAATACTTATTTGCCCCATGGTAACTGGCTGCTCTAAGAATAGTTCTAAGGTTGTAAGATTCATTGGACTCACAGAGCGTTGTCAAATTTCCCAGAGCTATACTGGTGCACATATGAGGAGTAGGCCAGGTCTTCATGGGCTGTAGCAACGTGGATGTTCTTCCCCCCAAACACAGACTGTCGGATGTCCAGTGCAGTCTAGAATTCACACAGGGGGGACTTTTTATTAAATGTACAGTGGCTTCAGAAAGTATTCACACTACAGTTGTTTTTGGCGGCCTGTTTTAATTGTAGTTTTAGTCTAGTCTTTGTGTGAAGCTGTCATTTTTGTTTTTATTAGTTTTTGTCACGTTCATACACTTTTGTTAGTCTAGTCAGGTCTTAGCATTTTAGTCTTATTTTAGTCAGAATTATCCATGACTATTTTCATCTAGTTTTAGTCGACTAAAACTGATGACATTTAGTCTAGTTCTAGTCAATGAAAATTGTATTTTAGTCTCCTTTAGTAATGCAATTCTATTTAACCCAGTCAATATAGTATAAGTACCTAGTAGTAAAGACAAAACCAAAAGTTTCTTTTAGCCAAACCCATTTCAAACAAGGTTATCTTATTATATTGTTATCTTATAGACTCAAGAATACATCCAATACATATTTTGTGTGATTTTGTGGCTGCATTTCTCCCCATCTTTTTCCACAACACATTCCGTTTTCTTTTCTACTTCTATGTAGTGAAAGTTTTTCCAAATGTCGTTTCTTCTTTTTCTCCCAAAGACTGGCCAGCCATCGTTCCATTTCTCTGTGTCAGACTTAACTTTTTTTTGTTGTCGTCTTCTAAATAATGCCGTGAGTGGGGCTTAAGTGACGTCGCCTGCGTCTGCGCAGTGCGACCTGATGCAGCCCCTGAAGCGAGACACAGGAAACAAAAATACTGCAAAATAATAATAATAATAACGCAACTGAACGAGATGAAATAATGTTATAACATTTCCTTTCGTCTCATTTTGGTCAACGAAAATGAAGAGACATTTTAGCGTTGTTTTTATTTTGTAAACCACATTTAGTCTCATTTTTTCCATCAATATTGCATTATAACATTTAATTATAGTCATCGGCACAGACTGAGCAGCATTTACGTTGCGTCTCGTCTCCTTTTCGTCACGTGATAAAGGTTAGTTGACAACGATATTTAGTCATAATTTTCACTGACGAAAGCAACATTAATTCACACCCCTTCACTTTTTGCTCACATTACTGTGTTGTAAATTTTTTTTATGGATGAATCTGGAGTTTCTTCCCTTCAACCTACTCTCAATAACCCATAATGACAAAGTCAAAGTTTTTAGAAATGTTGATAAATTCATTAAAATTGGTTGTGAATATTGTTTACATGGTTTTCATGTATACACTTCTGTTGCCAACTACTCGACTTACCTGGTAAATAGCAACTGACTGGCATATGTTGTCTACATTTAATAAGTAAAATCCATAATCTAGCAGCGTGTCAGAGTACTTGGGATGCTTGTGTCCAAAATGTTCTCTGTAAGACACAAAACAATCAGAATCCATGATAAATAAAGGAACAAGAGTGATGTTGAATCTCAGAAGACACAGCATGTTACCTTGCTAGAAACACTGCATGTTTGATGAGCTGCTCTGCTTTTCGGAACTCTCTCTTCACCACACAGGCCTGCCGCAGAAGGACAAGGTCAAATGTCACACAATCTTCCCACTTCCCAAACCTAAGTATCAACAGCTCAAACCCTATCTGTGTACAACAAAACCCAGACATTCTGTAACTCCAACAGTGGCTTTATGACAGTTTTCATACAGAACAATCTAGTCAACCAATCTGAATTTTACCTTAGAAGCTTGTCGAAGAACATCAACCACAACTTTGACAGGCAGCCCTGAAGTAATTTCCTTCATAGCCTCTATACACCACCTGTAAGCCTGAGGGGCAAGGACAGCATGTAGACAAACAGATGAGTGACAAAGTAGCACCACTACCACCCTGTAAAGCAAACCCCCAGTTCATTATTAAAAACAACAGCACTATCCTACATGACAGGCAAACACTGTTCAGGCACTGGTAACTACAGATACATACCTCATCATAGTGGCTTTTAGCAAAGAGCAAGGCACAAAGCTCGCCATACAGTGCTGCCTTGTTGGCCTGGTGGCCATATTTGGCTAGTTTGTCCATGTAAGACTGGGCAAACTTGAAGGTCTCCTCCCCCAGGTGGTACTTACAGTTGCCATTACGGACATGAAGCAGCCTGTTAAGATATGACAGTAAGACTTCATAATCTCAGGGGTGTCTGTCCACTTTATTTACTGAATGTAGACATAAAAACAGAGCACCTGTTTTTGAAGAGCCTTTTCGATTCATCTATTATTGCACAGTGTTGCTGCAAACACTTTTTCCATTCATCTACCTATTTTCTTCCTGATTTCTTTGATAGTGATGGACAAAGATGTTCTTAAGTTGCACAGATGGCAAAAATAGTTGATTATCAAAACTCCATCCACACATTCATTAGCTACACCTCTTTTAGCTAATAAGCAGTATAGCTAAGGGATGGATGGAACTAATTATCAAAACTGTCAATTTACAGTGGGTACGGAAAGTATTCAGACCCCCTTAACTTTTTCACTCTTTGTTATATTGCAGCCATATGCTAAAATCATTTAAGTTCATTTTTTTCCACATTAATGTACACACAGCACCCCATATTGACAGAAAAACACAGAATTTTTGACATTTTTGCAGATTTATTAAAAAAGAAAAACTGAAATATCACATGGTCATAAGTATTCAGACCCTTTGCTGTGACACTCATATATTTAACTTAGGTGCTGTCCATTTCTGCTGATCATCCCTGAGATGGTTCTACACCTTCATTTGAGTCCAACTGTGTTTGATTATACTGATTGGACGTGATTAGGAAAGCCACACACCTGTCTATATAAGACCCTACAGCTCACAGTGCATGTCAGAGCAAATGAGAATCATGAGGTCAAAGGAACTGCCTGAAGAGCTCAGAGACAGAATTGTGGCAAGGCACAGATCTGGCCAAGGTTACAAAAAAAAATTTGCTGCACTTAAGGTTCCTAAGAGCACAGTGGCCTCCATAATCCTTAAATGGAAGACGTTTGGGACGACCAGAACCCTTCCTAGAGCTGGCCGTCTGGCCAAACTGAGCTATCGGGGGAGAAGAGCCTTGGTGAGAGAGGTACAGAAGAACCCAAAGATGACTGTGGCTGAGCTCCAGAGATGCAGTCGGGAGATGGGAGAAAGTTGTAGAAAGTCAACCATCACTGCAGCCCTCCACCAGTCGGGGCTTTATGGCAGAGTGGCCCGACGGGAGCCTCTCCTCAGTGCAAGACACATGAAAGCCCGCATGGAGTTTGCTAAAAAACACCTGAAGGACTCCGAGATGGTGAGAAATAAGATTCTCTGGTCTGATGAGACCAAGATAGAACTTTTTGGCCTTAATTCTAAGCGGTATGTGTGGAGAAAACCAGGCACTGCTCATCACCTGTCCAATACGGTCCCAACAGTGAAGCATGGTGGTGGCAGCATCATGCTATGGGGGTGTTTTTCAGCTGCAGGGACAGGACGACTGGTTGCAATCGAGGGAAGGATGAATGCGGCCAAGTACAGGGATATCCTGGACGAAAACCTTCTCCAGAGTGCTCAGGACCTCAGACTGGGCCGAAGGTTCACCTTCCAACAAGACAATGACCCTAAGCACACAGCTAAAGTAACGAAGGAGTGGCTTCACAACAACTCTGTGACTGTTCTTGAATGGCCCAGCCAGAGCCCTGACTTAAACCCAATTGAGCATCTCTGGAGAGACCTGAAAATGGCTGTCCACCAACGTTTACCATCCAACCTGACAGAACTGGAGAGGATCTGCAAGGAGGAATGGCAGAGGATCCCCAAATGCAGGTGTGAAAAACTTGTTGCATCATTCCCAAAAAGACTCATGGCTGTATTAGCTCAAAAGGGTGCTTCTACTAAATACTGAGCAAAGGGTCTGAATACTTATGACCATGTGATATTTCAGATTTTCTTTTTTAATAAATCTGCAAAAATGTCAAAAATTCTGTGTTTTTCTGTCAATATGTGGTGCTGTGTGTACATTAATGAGGAAAAAAATGAACTTAAATGATTTTAGCATATGGCTGCAATATAACAGAGTGAAAAATTTAAGGGGGTCTGAATACTTTCCGTACGCACTGTAATTTTCTCTCCGTGCTTTGTGCTGTGACACTTGTAATTCAACAGGAATGAAAATGCAGATTGGCGAGCTAAAGTAGGCCATCTGCTACAAATTCCACTTTCACATAGTATCATAGCCTGGGAGATAAAATGTCTACAGAATGACAATGTACTGATCTCACTTAGTGTCTCGGTATGTGCACTACCAGCCAAATGTTTGAACAGGCTTTGCCGTTGAATCAAATGAGCGACTGTGGTTTGGTGGGTACAGTGGTCGTTTCCAAACTGGAAGGTTGGAGGTTTGAATCATGGTGCCTGCAGTCCACAGGTCAAAGTGTCCTTGGGTCTTTGGGCATGACACTGAACCCCAAGTTGCCCCAATGGTTAGAGCCATCTGTGTAAGTTGGCGCCGGAGATGGCTGCCTCAGGTTCTGTACAGGAAACAAATTCCTTGTATGCGTAACATACTTGGCCAAATAAAGTGATTATCCTTGGTATGTCCAAACTCTGTGACACAGAGAGTCAAACAAAATAACAGAAGGCCTTCACACTCTGAATCACATGGCTGTGAAAGAGCTAAAGTGTCAGTGTAGTGAGCTAACACCACAACTCAGGCATTTCTACACACCCTGTGTGATCAGTACAGGTGAAACTGACAGCACCTGTCATATCATGTTTCATATCAGGCAATTCACATCTACACAATTCATTACAAACAAAAAAAACAAGTCACTTACAATTATCTACATTTTGTTTTACCCTTGTGAATTGATTTATGTTGGAAAAACAACAAGAAAACTGAGAATCTGACTGAATGAACACAGAAGCTCCATTAAGAGAAATTATGTCAAGTAGCACATCATTTTATCGAACAGATCCATACAGAAAATGATCTAAAGTGCACTGGTATTGAAGAAGTTGGGGAGATGATATGGGTAATGCACTGTTAAAACTGGAGACAAAATGGATTTACTGTTATGGTTTGGACTCACTTCCTGGTTTTGGTGCTTTTATTTTGGTTTGACTTCCTGCCCTGTGTCACTTCACCTGTCCCAGCTTTACCACAGTTCCCAATCACATTCACTGTTTCACTCGCTGGTCCACTGCCTGGGTTGTCTTCATTCAGGAGCATCCTGTCTCAAAGTGATGCTGAAAAACTGGTCCATGCATTTGTTCCTTCCAGGCTGGACTACTGTAACTCTTTACTATCAGGATGTCCCAATAATTCCCTAAAAAGCCTCCAGTTAATCCAAAATGCTGCAGCCAGAGTACTGACAGGAACTAGCAAGAGAGATCATATCTCTCCCATATTAGCTTCTCTCCACTGGCTCCCTGTAAAAGTCAGAATAGAATTTAAAATCCTTCTCCTAACATACAAAGCCCTTAATGACAAGGCTCCATCATATCTTAAAGACCTCATAGAGCCTTATCATCCTAACAGGGCACTTCGCTCGCAGAGTGCAGGTTTGCTTGTGGTTCTGTTAGAAATTAACCCAATTCTTTTGTTGGAAGCACGAGAAGTGACGACAGGAGAGGACTGTTTAAAATCAACAGAAAGTTTACTGAAAGTCTGATCACAGGAAAGTCTTTACAGCGCTGGATTCAGAGAGCCAGAGCTCCCGCAGGAGATCCGCCTTCTGAACCATGAACTATGTTTTTACAATACATTTATCTTCTTGGGCTGCTCCGCCCTGGACAGAGGTACTATACTCAACACTTCGTAATCCTATTGGTCATTTGGCATGAGTTGGTTAACTCCTGCCTGC